ACACACACACACACACACACACACACACACACACACACACACACACAGTTATGGCAACAGCAAGGTTCTCATCGAAATATACATGTTGATATTATTCCGAAATATAAATTGCAACCTCTTTACATATTATTTGACAGAATGTGCATCATAAAACTGCGCATGCTTGTGTGTGTTTGTGTATGCAGGCTTTTACTCACGTGCATGAGCCAGGCTGAGGGCCCAGAGACGCAGGTAGGAGGCTGTGTTGGAGATGCATCCCAGACAGTACTCTATGGTGTGGATGGCCTGGTGGACAGCTACGTCACCAAAGTCAAACTGTGGGGAAAGACAAGATGGTTAGCACACACCGACTGGTTATAGTCACATATTTTTGTGTCTATATATATATATATATATATATGGTATATATGTACATATGTTATGTTTTACATGTAGAGGCATTGAGCTGATAGTAGTTATTATGACTCCACGTTCAAGGAACCTTCAGGTCACAAGCCCACTTCTCCTAACCTTCAGGCCACCTCTGCATCCACTGTGTTTCAAATTGAAACAAACTTTTTGGGAACCTCTTGTACGTTTAGTAGCAGGTATATCTGTATTATTCAATGTCATAACATGATTTGTAATGAGGTACTGCAGTGATTAAGTATTGCACTGGCCTAAAGTCTCAGAACATACAAAAAGAATGGTCAGAATTGGTGTAGCAGAGGCCGAACACCAAAAAACCCTGGATCCTACACTTCCCATAATGCAACTCACCCAGAGCAGGGACTTCTTTGTGTGTTGTAAAGCCAACAGAGTTCCTCCGTTCTCTCCTTCCTGCTTGGCAAACTCGCATCTTTCAAAAACTACACCAGTTGGTAGTGTGTATTAAATGTATTTCTAGTTTCCAAACTCAAACCAAAACATCTGGTTCATGTCACTTCTCAGAGTTAACAAAGCCCCTCCAGAGCCACAGGAAACCTCATGCAACCGTTTTCACAGGCAGCGTAGCACCAACTATGACATGTGAAGCCAGTGGAAAGCACCTTCCAGGATATTGATTCTTTTGTCTGCAGCTTTGCTCAAATGACTAAACTATCTCCCCGTAAGAAGGAATGTAACTACGGCTGCTGGTCTCTGCTGGAGGCTCCGAAGGAATCGGAGCCAAAGGAGGTTCTGGTGAACATGCAGGATTTTGTCTGTTTTCACCAGAATGACAAACATTAAGAATAACTGTATAGAAATATCTTCTCTCTGATGGTCATATAGAGACTTCAGCATTAAACTGAAGTAACGGTTTCATAACCAGTTAAAAGTTGCTCACATGAACTTTTATATAAATGTGAGTACAAATGAAACAGTTGTTGTATTTTCAATATGCTTGCTACAATAGTAAACATTCTTTTGAGACTTAAACAAAATCATTTCCAGAAAGTCATTACTGACACATACGTCATCTCAACACTTTACTTTCTGCTCCACACTCACAGAGGACTATCCCCCGGCTGTGCTACTCAAACAGTGGTCAGTAATAACAACTGTACAGTCAGCATGGCATGAACCATGGAAATGACTTGGAATGGAAATTCCGTTATCATCTTAATGAGGGGCTGCTTTGACCTTTGACCCCCGCCGGAGCCTTCAGATCTGATCAGGCTGGTTTGAGTTTCTTTCCTTTTTTTGACCCTAGCGTGATCACAGCGCAGGGACTTGTTTGTGTGTTGTAAAGCCAACAGAGTTCCTCCGTTCTCTCCTTCCTGGAACAAGACTAGCCTTTCCTGTATGGAGGGGGGAGACATGGGAGTCTATTGCTCTGACTTACTCTTGTTGGATTTGGCTTTGCGCTGGCCCGGTTTCCTCTTTCCATGCTTCTCTTTTGTCCTTGGAGCCGTGAAATAGAGTTCATGCAAGCAGCACTCATTGTTTCCATTCAAAGGGTCTCCGACATAAGTGGCTAATGAAAGCAACCCTGGCTAACACGCCGTACTGGCAAAATGCACCGAGGCCAGTGGCTCTGATCACAAATGTTGTGAACCAACATTTCAGCTGAGCAGAGAGTGTGATTTCATGTACATTCACAGCGTACAGGACTTTAGACTTGTGATGAAATGGCTCAGTTTAAACAACATTGTTTTTAGCAGCCACACATTTCTTTCAGACTGATTTGCCAGGACAAAGTTAAACATGTTTCAAAACCAAGGCAAAGACTGAGGGTACATTTGAAGAGCAGAGATGTGTGAGGCGGCAACCTCCAGTTCTGAAAAGTGAAGCCAATGTGGAAGTAACCTGCATTCTTTCTTTGGTCGGCCAAAAAACCATCATCGTTCAGTTGTATTTAGCTCCACCCACTTCTGTTTGTAAAAAAAAATCAAGATGGCAATTGCTAAAACACCGAACTCAAGGCCTCAAAACCACAGTCCAATGAGTGACGTCTGGGAGACTACATCTACATCTTATAATACGGTCTGTGGCTTTGACTCGTCCTAGAAGTTTTAACTCCGAACACAAACACTGATGACCCATCCTTTTTTCATAATTTTTTTTCATCCTTCTCAAACAATTGTAACTGCCCAGTCATAATAGGAGGCGATTTCAACACAGTTATCGACCCATCAGTAGACAGATCTAAAAATCCAAATAATAAGCGTACCTGGCAATCCACAGACACGATAAAACAGTTCATGAGTGATTTTGGTCTTGGCAATATTTGGCGATTACAGCACCCAAACTCAAGAGAATACTCATTCTTCTCACCAGTTCACCACTCATACTCACGCATTGACTTCTTCCTCAACAGCAATTCAATCATATCTAATATTTCAGACTCGAAAATCCATCCTATCATTATTAGCGACCATGCTCCCGTAACATTTATATGGAACAGAGTTACTGTACATAAACCTGTCACTAGATGGCGCTTCAATATATCTCTTCTCAAAGACCCTCAGTTTGACAGTCTTATTAAAAAAGAGTGGGCGTCCTTCTTACAAATAAATGATTCCCCAGAGTCATCACCAACCCTTCTGTGGGAAACATGGAAAGCAGTTTTAAGAGGAATAATCATTTCATTCTCCGTTTACAAAAAAAAAAGAAAAACAACAAGAAGCTGAACTGGAACAACAAATCAACCGACTCGAAACCATTAATGCAAGTAACCCAACAACGGAAACCCAGAACGAATTAAGAAAGTACAAATTCCAAATAAATGAAATTATAAATAATAAAACTCAATTCCTCATACACAGATTTAGACAAGAACATTTTCACCATAGCAATAAATCCGGTAAATATTTGGCAAATCAAATTAAACGAAATAAAGAAAAAACAACAATCTCAATCATCAAGGACTCTGCAGGGAAGCCCACAAATTCACCCGATGAAATAAATAAAATCTTCAGAAGTTTTTATGCCAATCTATATTCATCTAAAAATAACCCAAATCAAGAAGACATCAACTCATTTCTCAACAGCATTGATCTACCACAGCTTAACAAAGAACAAATCAACATACTTGACTCACCATTAACACAGGACGAACTTTGTACTGCCCTCAATCTTATGCCCAATAACAAAGCACCAGGTCCCGATGGCTTCCCAGCTGAGTTCTGTAAACACTTCTGGTTCATTCTAGCTCCACTCTTTAACAAAATGATAACTGAAATAAAACAAAATTTGCAATTTCCAGCCAACATGAACACAGCCAGTATATCACTCCTCCTCAAACCAAACAAAGATCCAACTCTTCCTTCTAGTTACCGTCCCATTTCTCTTCTCAATGTAGATATTAAAATCATCACTAAGGCACTAACTCACAGATTAGACAAAGTCACTCCATCCATAATTCATCCAGATCAAACCGGCTTTATCAAAGGTAGACATTCATCCACTAACACACGCAGACTGTTTCATTTAATCAATTACTCATCATTACAACAAACTGGTACCATCATAGCCTCCTTAGATGCAGAAAAAGCTTTCGACAGAGTAAACTGGACATTTCTCACAAGCACATTAAAGAGATTTGGCTTTGGGGAATCATTTATTAACTGGGTTAAAATTCTATACACTTCACCTTCAGCCACTGCCATCACCAATGGACAAACCTCACAAAGTTTCACACTGCACAGGGGGACTAGGCAAGGATGCCCACTCTCCCCCTCACTTTTTACCATTTTCATTGAACCGTTAGCTGCAGCCATTCGTCAGAACATATACATAAAAGGAATTGAAACACTCAACACCCATCACAATGGGTATTTTTCCTTCCATCTCAAAAGGCTCAAGGACATTCTCACACACACACACACGCACATACACATATACACACAGACACTGACTATATGATGTTTGCTAGCTTTTATCCCACTGTTCTTGTCATCCTCTTGTTGTTATGTCTATGTATTGTCTAATATTGTCTCTTGTCTTTCAATAAAAAAATTTAAAAAAAAAGAAAAAAAAAAGAAGTTTTAACTCCGGCTCGTCTCTGTCTTGTGGGTAGTGGTCTTGGATCACACTTCATAATCTGTCCTAAAAGGCAAACATATTGTTCTTTGTGAGAGCGTCTGCCTAAAATCTTAATGTGCAATAAATAAATCTCAAGAATTTCAAAGCTATATACGAAAGTGATTGAACTTATTCTGCCTCGTTTCAACTATAGCGGGGCTTGTCACAGACATGCAGATGGACATAGATGGACATAGGAGTACAGGAGGTTCACACAGGAAGACCACCACTTGGTAATACAGGCACAAACAGATCAGGCAAGACGGCATCCAGACATGTTAAGAAGATACCAAAACTCAGTTTCTTACCGGCTCTTCCTCTGCGTGCTTGAAAGTAAGCAAAGGTCAAAGGTTAGTGTCAGAATTCAAAAACCGCATCCATCCATCAGGTCCCATCCTACTTCTGCAGGTTATTTCATTAGACTGACTGCTGAGGTTGGGTTTCCTTTTGATTATTTGTAATGTAAATGTAATTCAATGAGACCTTTATCTCTTTCTCTCTCTGACTGTTACAAGCATTGATTTGTGTCATGTATCGCATTAGACATGCACAAATTGCATTGCACTAGCCTGGTAAGCTAACAGTCAATAATGGATGAAATAAAGCAAAATAGAACTTTTTTCGGGTCTCGTATCTCAAATTTGGCACCTCTTGGGTTCGGTCGGGTTGGATCTTAAAGGATAACTTCTGATTTTCTTGTTCATACAATAATCTTACATCATATGTATGATTTATGAGATTAATTCAGATTGTTGAAGCCTTCAGAATGTGTTTGAAGGAGAGAAGGAGCCCTGCATCACTCAATTTATCTGGATGTTAACATTTTCTCAACTACTCAGTAAGATGTCCAACCTGACACTCTAACAGTTAACTCAACATTATGCAATAGTAAATTCCATAAGCCTGTTGTTAAGTCATGGCGACATGGAATATCATACGCTTGCAATAATGATGACAGACTGCAGTCTCATAACAGTACAGTTATGTAATATGTTATCGCTACATAAACAACTCAGAGATGTATTATGCAGGAGACCTGGGAGAGCCTCTGAGTCACAGACAGAAACAAATCTGCCTGGTATTTTGAGAAATTCCACCCGCTGGTTCTCATGAACACCACCTCTCTGTTTATGTTTCTGAAATGGAAAGTCCATCTCTTATCTGCTGCGGTCCATCCCTGCCCCGCCTCTCTCTCTGCACGCTGTGCCCACATCGTCCTCATCTCTTGTGACTACTCAGGAGAGATATCTCTGATATGAAGGTAGAGCAGGGAGGGAAGCATGGCGCTGGTGAAGGAGCTGAGACAGAATATTTACATTTACTATTGTTGTGGTTGTAAGCTTTAGACAGTCTGAAGCTGGAACTGCTGGAACTACACAGTGCTGAACTTAAAGGTGTTTAATTTGAAATTCAGAACATTAATATTTCATCAAGCAACTATTGTCTATGTAAAGAGATAGTGGAGTAATGTCTCCCTCTGTGTGTGTTTTTATCTAGGCTTTTCTCTGCTTTGTTTACTTAGCCGGTCTGCCGCGCATGCACGTTAGTTGTGCCCCACTGGCTAGCTAATGACCAACGCTCTGCACCACTCTCATACGGCGGTATCAGCCCCACCCTCAGGTTAACACTGTTAGCGCTCTCTGCAAGTCGTCTCCATGTTGAGGCAATGGGAATGCTCTGAATTGTGTATCGAGCACCTCTAACTATTGTCATCATTTCAGTATGATATGATCAATATGATTGATCATAAAGCAGACTACACATTCGTTAGTGAGCCAAATACAAGTGATTGTGATGCAACGACAAACACCATATAGGTTTTGGCATCGCATAGCCATCCCACCGGAACAAAAGATAGCATGGAAACATTTTGTAATGGCAAGCATTTTAAATACATAAAGGTGCAATCTTAAATACAGGAACCATCAGAATCAGAGGTATTGCAATATTTGGATGATGTTTCAGTACTATGCTGCACACAAAACATCAGCTGAAAAGGCACAGCAGGTAAAAGGCCAATGCGGAGAAAGATTTCGTTTGTATTTCATATGTATTGGCATATAGAGAATGGAAATAACCCATTCAATTATAGACGGATATCAAGTCTTCTCACTTCAATTTTAAAGTGACACACAGAGATACTATCAAAATGCAGGCCTGGGAGAGGATGGAACTGTAATCAGTGACGTTAGCTGATATATTTCATGGGCTCACCTCTTCTCCTTCCTCTGAGTGCTGGGAGAGGTGGTCATGGTCCACGATGCCAGTCTCATCCTCCGTGGGCCCGTTGCCCACCCGCACCCCTCCGAACTTCTGCGTACCCTGTTGGGTGAGTCCGGTGCATGATGAGGACACGCCTGTTTGCTCTAAAGACTGCTCTAGATTCTCTGCAGGGGTTTCTTCCCTCTTCTGGGACTAGACACAAAAGCCACAAGAGCTGTGTCTAGCTTAAAGCAAGCCTTGGGTTGAACGCTTTCTTCATTTACTTCATTTGTTGAAAGTAACAGGGCACCCCGTACAGTGAGTTAAGGCTTTCATTCCAAAATGAAAAACATCCACCACTTGTGAAACACAACGCTGCTCATTGGTCGAGTTAAACCTCAACAAACACAAATGAAGATTTTTGTAAAGTACAGCTTGTAACTGCAAAACCTCTAAATATGACTAAAATCAACATTTCCTGTTGGCTCATCGAGCGACCAGCAACATCCTGATCCAGTCCAGTGCTTTTGTCACTTGTCCAAAATGGCTTTTAATGTGCTTGACAGCAGGCTAGTTAGCTCAGGTGGCTAATTTGTATCAGAAATGTCAGCTAGCTAATAACTTCATAGTCTTTGATAACTTAGAGGCAGGGTTGGTAACCTTCTTGATGTTGACATTCTATTGAAATTCTCCTTATATCCATCTTCAATCAATGAATCAAAGAAAGAGAAGAATATCTGGTCTCCGTAGCTGTCACAGGACTGTAATAAGACAACTGAAGACACAAACTGCTACTTCACCCTCATACAGTAACTATGGGCGATGTCATCCTAGAAAATGAGCTAAACGTTTTATAAAATCACAATAATATCAATTGACAACCTTTTTTCAACAATAAGAATGAGACATAAACAAAATGAAAGGTAACCTTTGCTGTAATGTTAATGACGGGATGTTCTAAACGTTTTAAAACAAGAACTTACTCAACGACCTGCATGCATCGGCAGAATCACATCACATCCTGCACCACAAAAGGACCTACACTGTCCTCTGTCAAATAATTGCAGAAATTCTCCAAAAAACAATCTAAAAAATGACCTGGTGCCAAAACGTACAAAGTTTATATGTAGGACTCTTCCTGTGAACGTGGTAAACACAACCATAATTCTTTAAAGTTGGTACTGATCTCTGGTCTGATGGGACTGCATTTCTTTGAGCTTTAAGCCGACCAGTGAGAGCAAAGAGAGCACCAGGCTCATATATCAGGTAACTCACATTCGTTAGACAGAAAGAATTTTGGTAAGAAGTCGTCAAATGTACAGCTAGAGTAAGAGGATACAAGTGGTAGACCATCAGCTGTTAGGGTGCCTCATTCTGACAAGTATTTCAACCAAATTTCCCACCAAAATATGAGCGTTTCCAAGGCAGGCTTTAAGCATGTTTCATGACAACACAACCAACCACATTACACAATACAACGTGCATTGAAATGAATGGCAGAATAGGAGTGAAAAAAAAGGTTATATCACAGGTTATAAATGTTAATCATCAAAGGTGCCAGTAAGGTTATAGGTGGGATCAGATCCACATACCAGGTGCATTTTCCACAGGTGCTGACGCCGAAGCACCATAGTTTTCACAATCAGCATACAGGGAACACATGCAAGGGCAATCAGCACCAACAAAATCTGGATCCCCATCTACAGATTCAAACAGAGAGAGGTTAACAGGGTGTTGGTGATGTGTAGCAATGATCAGAAGATACTAATTCCCCGAACACATCCTGCTGAGGCCTCACTCCGTCCTCCCTCTCAACGATGGCACTCTATTTTTCTCCTGTTCGACCGAATACAAGCTGTCCTTTGCTTTCCTGCAACACAGGTACGTGTTACAGTTATTTGTTGTTTTAATCTAACAATAGTAATATGCTGATCTGTTAAAAGGTGAGTACACTTTTCTGCAGAATGAGAAAAAAGCAATCTCATGACACAGGTTGGGCAATACCTTAACAAATAAGTAAGCCACAACTGTAAATGTGCATGATACAGAGAAGCTTTGGTGTACCGTTGATTGGTTGACAGCAAATCAACGGTACACAACTATTTCTAACCAATCATATCAAGAGCAGACACCCCGTAACAGAACAGGCATAGCAGGGTTGGTTGAGCTAGCTGAACACACCACATGTTTTTAAAGCAGACAGATGGAGGAGATGAGCACGTCAGCACAGACAGTGACAGCTCAGCAGTCACAACCTTAAACGTTCAGAGCTGTTGTGGATAAACAAGGTAATACAGCCCACTCTCGACCTGGTAGACCTAGTAGTCTAGTAGTTTTTAGAGTCCAAAAACTTAGACGAAACTAGGTAGACTGGTAACTCTGGGCAAAAGAGTTCTCTGATAGCATCTCCATCAGGCACTATATGTAGCAAGAGCCGGAATGTTTAAACTCCCAGACATTTTTAGCTTCATTTCAAATCCAAGGGCTGGAATAGAGCAGAAAAAAAGAAACATACCATATTACTGTCCTGATACTTTGTGGCTACACTGGTGGTCTGGCTAGCAGAGTAAAGTAGTTTGAGAAAGTGATGATCTGAGTTCATGTCGGCAAGAACAACCCCTCCAGAAGTATCCCAGAGCGAGGCACTAAATCCCTGCCAGCACCAGGGCTGCTGTTCTGTAGAAACTGACCTCTGACCATAAGACAAGTTAAACTTTTCCTTCTCCATAGCGATACCTGAACTTGCGTATTGGCCGATAGACAGAGTATCGATCCAATAATAATGCGTCAAAATACCAACGGCGTTTTACTGGCGTTTTCCAGTGTTAAAATGTTGTCAAATTCCTCTCAACAGAGATGAGAAAGAAGCGAGACGCCTCATGCCATCATCAAGTCCGGATGCAGCAACCGTTTTATTTTTCTGGAGTGAGTCATCTCGCTTCTTTCTCATCTCTGTTAAAAGTTGCACTGCTCAGTACCGATGGGGCAGGATGCACGGATCGGTTAGCGAGAGACACATGTTGTTACCTGATCCAGCACTTCAGGCTGTATCAGAGGCATTTCTGGTACGGGTATCAGTACAACTATTTATGATATATATATAGCATTGTTAATTACTATTAATTAAATATACTATTATGTGTGTTGGCTTTGAGCTGCTGTACAACTCACTACCAGGGTTCAACCATACTAGTGCATGAGCGAGGGGCAGGGAGCTGGGAGAGGCAGAGGGAGCACCTGTCCCCTGTAGAGGGGCTTGCTGGTGGGGTCGCTGTAGTTGAAGAGACACATGTTGATGAAGTGGATGAGCAGGCTGGGCGCGTCCTTGGAGGTGAAGGCGTCATAGGCCGTCCACTTGTAGAAGACCAGCAGGGCGAGGTAGCCAAACAGGCTCGCCATGAAGACGATCTCGGGGATGAAGCCCAGGAAGATGTTCAGCGGCTTCTTGAAGTACCTGGAGAAATTCAGTCAACAACACAAACAAAGCAGATTGTATAGTAGCGCTGCTACTGTATGTCGGTGACGGAGAATCACTTTGCTTATGTTGGCCTCCAGTGAAAATAATTGTTTCATCATACTCCATCAGTGTAGTCGTGTATCCATTCAGATGGATGTAATAACTGTGTTAGCTATGGGGGCAATGTGGACATAAGAAAAGTGAAAACAATGTTTTAAAACTTGAAACAAACAAGGCTTGAACTTTGGTATTTCAGACCAATTTAAGTAGTTTGGATGTTTTTTGGAAGCTTCTCTTTCCCTCTCCTCTCCTGCTCCCCTGCCCTTAGACGTTCCTCTCCTTGCCTCCTCTCTTCTTTCTCCTCTCATGTCCCTCCCTGAGGCCTCCTGTCCTCTTCTGTTCCTAAGTTTGATTAATGTCCCCTCTTTGTCTATCAATGGAAACAAACACGTAATAATCTTAAGAATTACCAGAAGTTTTCAGTGACAGTAACAACAACTGTTTTTTACGAGCCAGGATAGACTACTTGCACCGGTGCAAAGAAATTAATTCAGGTTACATCATTTCATCCGTCTAGATTTTATGCACATGCATATTATGCCTGCCTGACTTTCTCCTCCTTGGGAAATATCAGAGTGACCTCATTTTCTTAAAAATTGTGCCGTTAACTAGGATGAACTGGTCGGGCTTCACAGGTAGAATAACAGACGTGTTGTGGAGCAATAATAACCAAGTACGTATTGAGGGAGGTGGATCAGATGATTGATCACAGAATGTTGTTTTCTTTTTTTGCCCTGGTTGCAAAGATTTTGCCGTGGCGGCCACCAGAAACCAGTGAGTAAACCTATTAAACCAGAGTCATAACTCAAACGTGATCACACCAGCAATCCTGAGTACAAGTATACTGCTGGGATCAGTGGAATCCACTCCTCACATTGAACTGTTCCTTCAGTATCAGCAGTAATCCAGGTTTTTGCAGTCTGAATATCTGCAGTCACAGAGCAATAAGGACCTGGAGGATGATGGTATAGATTCACCAAAATGTTAACAGATATTCCAAAAAATATTCCGGGACCTCACTTTCCCTGTACATTACCTGAAGCATGATGGGAAGCCTGATTTGAAAATCTCCAAACATTTTCATTCTAAAACTGGAGAGAGAAAATCCAAGAAGATGATCTGCTTGTTTTACACCACTGGTACATTCTTTGACAACATGTCACAGCTCCGCCCCTTCTCTCCTGTCACTCTGTCTCTCGCTCACCTCATCAGCTCATTCAGCGCACCTGTTAGTCACACCCACCTCATCAGCTCATCACTCTCACCTGCTCACTCTGCTGCACCTACTATTTAGACCCCAGTCTCACACACACTCACTGCCAGATTGTTCTCCGCATTATGCCAGACATTCCAGTGTTTACCCTCCGACTAGTTTCCCGTTGCCGACCCTGCCTGTTTGGACTTCTCCGCCTTGCCTCTGCCCCGGTAAACCACTCAGCCTTCTGTCCCCGACCACGAGATCCTGCCTCTGGTTTCTGTCTGCCTTCTCCCCTGACGGCTTGGCGTTCCACCATGTGGGATTCTACACCTGTGCATATCCAAGACTGTTACCTGTTGTGTGTTCATTTGAGAATAAAGCTTTGATTCCAATTATTCTGTGTGCCTGTCGTACTGCTTCTGAGTCCTTACCACACCTGTTACACAACATAGATACTAGCAATATGTTAAAAACCTGTGGACATACAGGCTAAAGCCTCAAACAGAGAACATGTATAGTGCCGCTTGGCAATTGATGTCATTTCTGAGGAGTTTTAGGGCCTCGGTAGTCAGATCTTCCTCAAATGACCAATTTTTTGTAACCAACCTCCCTTGGTTCAAACTTTTCTCTCAAGCTCTCTTTTTTCATTATTCACATAACTACTTTCATCACTTTCTGTGCAAACAACTGAGCAAAAACAATTTCCAGTAGTGTAAACCATTCTTTTCAGTACATCTGGCCCCTTTCGTAGGCCTTATGCCACATCTTCGAGTGTGGCCATTCAAACCCGGTACGAACCCTTTTGCCTGTAGTGACTATGCTTTAAGCCTGTAGAGAACGGGAGTGAAAACTGAGGACACCAAATGGTGCAGGTGTTCAATTCCAGCATTGTGTCCTACGTACAGGTGGTTGAAGAGACTGAGAGACACTCCAAACAGCATGTGAATGACACCCAGGATCACAGACATCTTCATCTTGAATGAGTTGAGGAAGGTCAGCTTGTTGGTGGCAACATTCCAGATCTGCAGAGATTACACAAAGTGAAATGTTTGAGGGCATTATGGTGTACTAACGTAAAACAAATACATTGGGAAATCTACATATTGTTTGCTCCTTTGTGTTAATTATTTTGGTGATTCAGCCTGCTGGTGCCTACAGATGATGCTGATCTTTAAAAGCACCGCTTAGATATACAGTTTCATTTTAGGGTTAAAAAAGGCTCAATCATTTTCTGAACCAGCTGGGCACTGTAGCTTTTCAAAGACGTTACTCAGACAGCAGTGAAACGGTGCATACGATTGGGATTACTGTGTATGTGTACATGTAGAAACATGTCACCCAGTGCAACAGTGTGGCTCACTGATGTGTTTTTAATCACTATGGACAACAATGGAGCTCTATGACACAGAGGAAGAAGATATATCAGGCTCTGATACACACTTTGTTTGCCCTGTGATTCTTACCACAGAAAACAACTACGATCTACCTATTTCTGTTTTTCTAGTGAGTGTACGGATTTTACCGGGTCAATTCCGAGTGGATACGGCCCGTTGAAGACACCAGGAACAGCTGGGTCTAACTGTAGAACTCCATTTGCATCAAGTGTCTCAAACCTAGGACAGAGCAGCAGGAAATGAATCAATGTATTGACAGGAAGCAGATTATATACAACGACCAGCAATACATTTTAGAACATGAATCAACCACATAGAGTACAGTAGTAAGATAACACATGACTGTCGATGCTATGTTATATATGATGAGAGAACATACATAAGGTTCCTGGAAAAAAAGTGTTTTACACCAGCAACTAGTTGCTAGCGTAGCCGTAACAGTCTTTTAGACGGAGCACAGTACAACCACTTCAAATGCAAAAAAAAAAACCAGTGAATTATTTCATGACAAACGGTTTGTCCATTA